TGTGGCCGCGGCGCACCTTTCCCGCGCACCCTCCCGCAGTCCGGGGGGCGGTGCTCTCTCCGGGGAGCCACCTTCCGAGCCCCCAGAACGCCCCGCCAAGTGCCAGCTAGGCGGGCCTAAGAGAGCGCGGGACGCGCACAGAGGAGAGCGGAGACGCGGATTAGCGCCCGCAGGAGCCTCCAGCGCGCGTAGAGGCGCTAAAGGGCTTACCCAAGGGGGGGGGGGCGGTGGAAGGCGGGGAGAGGCTCCCCCTTAAATACCGCACTCGGCTTCTCTCGCGCGCTCACCCCGGCCTCCGCTCACTCCCTCGCCCGCCGCTGCAGGATTGTGCCGAAGAGGAGGGGGCGTTCCCCAGGCCATGGCATCCACGGAAGGGTGAGGGGGCTTTTCTCTGGACCCGCAGGAAAGCGGGGGGCGCGCTCGGGTGGTGGCGCCCTATCCGGGACAGGGACAGAGAGACGTCGGCTCTGGATTTCGGAGACGGTGGCGGAGCTATGGCTGGGGGTGGGATGGTGGCGAGGGGATGGATTTTCTTTCGCGAAGCTTGCATTTTAACCCTTTGAAGATGTGAGAGATGGAGGATTGTTTTATTTTATTAAAAGGGTACGATGGGGGCGTGAAAAAGTGTGGCGAAAAAAATTCTCTTGAGATTACTTTTGAGATTTAAAAACAATAAGAGATTGGGCACTGTGTGAGCGGCAGACATTGCCCGGGAAGCGGCGCTTGGAGCGGCGCGCAGGCTGGAAGGTGGGGACCCGCCTGGATGAATGAGCGGGTACCAGGGCGGGGCGGGGCGAGGACTGGCGCGCGCGGCCTTGAATGTCAGATTTGCAGGTCGCTACTGAATAGATGCCCGGCCTGCACTGATTGCTCCTTGTCCCTGGATGGCGGAATCTCCCTGGCCAGCTCCAAGGAAGAGTGGAAGAGATTTGGGTGCTTCCCGGGAAGAGGCGGGAAAATAAGTGATTTTGGGCAGGCACAGGACTCCCCAGACTCTAGCGGGATAGCGTCGGCTTCCCTATTCAGCCTGCGGTTGTGGAGTCGCCTCCTGCCTCCAGAGGCTGCAGTTGGATGGAGACTGTTCTCAGCGATAAGTAAGGACAGCTTACTTATCTGTAGCAAAAGGGAGACAGGGCTACAAGGGGCAAAAGGATCCCTCGAATAGTCAGACCTTAAAGGAAGGGTCTGGAACAAAATCCCTGGACCGGTATCTCCCAGAAAACTTTTTCTGCTCGGTGGAACCTGAGTAGAAATAAAAAGACTGGTTGGGGAGCTCAGCTCTTTGGTTAAGTCACAAAATTGCAGTAGCCACTTGATCCCATCACTGGACCCATGTTGTATGGAAAGCAAATATCAGCAGAGTCCCTGCGCACAGGTGGAGTTCTTGGTGCTGGCGCTTTCCATAGTTTCTCTTTAATACTTTTACCAACTCCTCAGCTTGTTTGGGGGGAATGGGTGTCTTTAAGTAGGAGTGAAGAACTGGTTTCAAAGACCGATCTCTAGACCCCAACCTCCAACAAAGGGGAAATATTTCTAAAACTGTCTGTGTTTAAGAGAAGAACTCATCCCTTTTCTGTCCCTTGGAGTCCTTCCAAAGGGGTCTGGCATCTTGAGGTAGCATATTTCTTCTTTCTTTTCATCCTAACAGTTCAGCAGTTTGGACCTTTTTGATTATTGTTTCTCCAAAAAGATGCTCCAGAAAGACACCATTTACAGGGAGGGTGGGATATTGTGCTAAAACAGATCTCTGGAATCAAATATTAAGAGCCCACATGGCTCAAACTCAGTGCCTTCCCCTGTTTAATTAAAGTTTTTCATATTAGAAAAGATATTAAGGCATTTCTGGCTGCCTTCAAAGCCCTTCTAGATTTACTCTGCTCGTAAAGGCTAGGTTGGGACACATCTGTGAAAGGAAGGGATGATGGTAGCCTTTCAAATCCTGCATCCCGCTCACTCCATATTTTGATGGCCAGATAGTGAAAGGAGAGGTTAAGACAACAGAAATCCCCAAATCGTGTTTATCTCACCTTTGTCCTAAATGAGAGCTGCCAAATGATTTGACATTAAGTATAGAGCAGAAGTGATTTTTGATATTTTTAAAAGACACACATTCAGTTAATGCCATATTTGTGCACTGTGGGTAATTACTAAGAAATTGGTCAAGGGAACTTGTATATAGGAGATGAAAGAGTTGAGAAAATTTGAAAGGCTGGGAAGCAAATATGGAAAGACCTAGGACCCATTATCGTTTCAGAGCAGTAACTGATGAGCAAGTGACATTCTCAGAAAACCTGGTCTTTCCTTTCTTCCATCTCTTCTTCCAGCTACATTTACTGAGTATTTGATGGGTAGATCTCGCATGCCAGGGGCTACAAAGAAAGACATTAAGGGTCTGGGAGCTGGCTTTTAGAAAGCTGGCTCCTGTTGAGGACTTTGATTAGTAAATTGTTCATATGGTTTGGTGAGGATCTCTTTCCTCTTCTGGTGTCTTTGGTTAATGTGTGTCATCAAGGGAAATTCACCAAGAATCCTCAGGCTGGTCTCCTTTGTTAGCCATTGCCTTCTAATGATGTTGAAATTGTTTCCTTGAAACATACATTGCTAAGAAGGAAGCAAAAACAGCAGTATGGGTTATTATATGTTTTCGATGTACGTATTTTCAGTTCAACTCTCTTTGATCCAGAATGTTTGGGGGATGGGATAGTATGGTAAACTGAACATTTTGGTTACCAATTATTTGGCGATATAGTTACAGTCAGCACCCTATGTCGATTACCAATTTTTAAAGAATTATTAGAAGCAATAGTAATATCTTATATTTGTTTAGCACTCCACTTTCAAAGCTCATGTGTGTACAACATCACATTTGATTCTTTCAGTAACTGAAGTAGGTGGTCCAGTGAAAATGGGCTTTAAGAATAAAGGATATAGAATGTAATATCTTTTCAGGAAGATTCCAGGACTTGGCAAAACTTTGGGATAATCGCCTGGAAATATCAGTTATCGCTGAAGGGTGTACTAGGCATGTCTGGTGCAGGAGATTACCGGCTTTCTCTCAGACCTTTGGCATACACACCCTGCAAATTGCTTTTTGGAATATTCTTAATATCAGCCTGTGCACTTAGTCTTTGCAAAGCATACTCAAACACAGTCTGGTTATTTGAGGTTTCTGATTTTTTTTGGAATTGAGATTATTAGCATCCAGTTTCTATAAAAGTCAAAAGTGGACTCTGGTAGTTCCCAGGCCCTGAGAAGTATTTTCTTGCAAAGCAAGGTCTAATTTGATAGTTGAATATTCTTTTTTTTTCTGAATCCCCTGACATGGCTAGAATTATGGTTTTAGGTCCCTGACCCAGATTGGAAACAGATTATAAGTAGTTGGTGGCAGACAAGCCAGTGTCTATTATTGACCGAGTTATAGTGGCAGGCCTCGATGCTGCAGAGGCAGGCATTTTAGAAATACGTCCTTGGGGGTGGGAGGGGGCTAGGGCACCGTGTATGTCAGGAACCCAAGGTGATCTGTCTTCTGATAAGCTCCCAGGAGCAAGGGGTCAGGGCGAAAGCCAACCACGGGGGCTTGGGTTTCAGTCTGACTTAGAAAGCAAGTGAAACAGAAAACTGCTGACAAGAGAAAAACCCTGGCAAGGGAGACCTCTGGATTTATTATTTCAAGCAAACAAAAGCAAAACATAACGATTGCCTTCTCCCTCCTCCCCGGGAATGAGGTGAGGTCATTTGGAGTAAGAGCCGGTGGGGTTGGCTTATGGTGGAGGGAGTGGAGGGCATGGGGTTTGGGGTCCAGAGGGGTTCGCATATTGCATGCCTCAGGCTTGGCTGCGGTTTTCATTTCTCGTTTTCTCATTTTCAAGAATATAAAAATCAGCCTCCTTGGGTAAAATAGCTATCATGGAATTGTGAGAAGGCCATTTCATGTTGGCTAAGACACCCTCTTGTGAGTGATTGAAAGCTTAATTCTCAAGAAATAATTCCTAAATCCAAATAAAGCTTGCAAAATGGAAAAGCCAGGATATTAAAAACCAAAAGACGGGTCTGTGCATCAGTCTCAATGGCCACTTCTTATCCTCTTTTATGCAGCACTGGACGGTGACATCTCCTTTGGTCAGATTGAAGGGAATTGTCAGACAAGGAAAAGTCCTTAAGAGATGGTGCTTCGGCAGCAGGGAGAAGCAATATTAATAGTGAAGTGTTAGATTTCTGGGTCAGTATGCCATAAATCCTACAGATCCAGGGTTGCAAAGCCTTTTCACAGTTTGAAGCGCAACACAGGTTTGTTGATTCCGGTGGAAATCTCCCCTCCCCACCTTCCTCCATGGCCGTGTCACACAATGCCCCGTGTCTGGTTTCCCCCCTTTTAAAGGCATACTAAATTGTTTTCCATAGTGATTTTAATCCCCATGGGACTGGCATGCCTCTCAGAATAAACTGAATCTACTCCATTTCAATCGCCTGCTAGAGGTATTTTAATCAAATTAAGACACCGATATTTTAAACTCTTCTAAGCAATGGGAGACAGAAGAGTCATTCTCAAGAAAACGTTTTAGTTTTGTTTGCATTTTAAGAACTTGTCCTCGAAATCTGAAAAATCTCACAAATGCTATACACCGTCTTGCTTGCCGTCTTCTCTTCTGTGCTCTTAACAGCTTGTTGGGGGCAAGCAGGATGTTTCATAGCAAGGGTTTTAGAATCCAGATTAAGGCAAATCTCTTTATTTACGATCGATCCTGTGCTTGCTGTCTCCTCCCTCTGCCTGCCCCTCACCCCTCAACACACGAAGCACCGAGTCCTTGGAATGAATTAATTAAAGGAGTATTTAAAAATATCTCACTGTTCTATCTCCACGTGCTCCATCATTGATTGGAGGCAGATGGGCAGCATATTTGTCAGTAGGATAGAAAAGGACTAGCATCTCATTATAAATCTGCTTGGCTTCAAACAATGGCAGAGAAGACAATGGGCCAGCTGTATTAAAGAAGGAAGAAAAGCGTAGATCGCTAAACTTTTAAAAAGAATAACTAATTTTTGTAGTCCTTTGGAATCTTTTTAATTTTTATTTTTCAATGGTGTTGATATTTATTTACTTATCTTTCATTCACGTATTTATCAAATTTCTCACTTCGACGAGCAGATATGACGGCTGTCTGCTGAACTGCCGTCTGGTGTTTTCGGCAATCTTGGCAGCTGCTTTGGATTATAGGCTCATTGAGCAAGGACGGTCTTTTAAAAATGAAATGAAGGGAATGAACTCTATTTTGGTGGCTGGACTTCGTCTGTGTCAATCCCGGCTCCCTATAGGATAGATGATGGTACATGTTAAAGACCTTGAATGAAGTCCCTGGGGACCAGGAGGGAGACAG